TCTGCGCGCGTGCCCGCGCCAAATAAACAAGGATTGTCGAAATTTTGGCACTATTTTGACACTATTAAGGCTAATTTACACCCACTCAGCTGATCTATACACCTACATAGACCAGCAATAACCCACTTTGGTGGCATTATATCTTTTTACTCCTCCCTTGAATCTGAGAACCTACTTTAATGCTAAAAACTTTAATTGGCAAAAGTAGAAATTTTCGACACTATCAGTTTTAAAGTAGGAGTAAATCTTGTACTCGCAGTTCGATCTCTTTTACTGTCTTAAATTCTACTATATAATAGAATTAAAGGTTCAACATAGGGCAAAAATTTCGACTCGGGTATATGCCGTGTAGGTAGCAAATTTCTGTTTGCGGATCATGGGGGCTGCTATTCTCGCAAACATCGATTTATGGCTTTAATATCGAAGGAGCGCGGGAATGCGGGCGAAACAAAAATTACAGGTGTAGGCAAGTGTTTTGCGTGTGAGCAATTACAGTCGCACCCTCGGAAAGGCTTTCTGTTACCGGGACAAAAAATATTCTTAACGCATTTATGTTTCTCACAACCTCATTTAGGATAAAAATAAGACAGTATCAAAATAAAATCAATAATTCTTATTCTCCCCTATCGAATTGAAAGAGATTGACTTACTATATTGTGACAAGAGTAACTTATATAAATCTAAGTTTATATATTCTTGCGTTTAGAATAAATTTCTTCTCCATCTTACAAAGCACGAAGTTGACACCACGATATTCGACAAGAGACGATTCTAAATTTTAGAATTTTTCCATTTAGGATTAAAATATTCCTTTCTCTATAATAAAAACGATTGGCGCTATATCGATCCTATTTTACGATACATTCAAGTGTAACGGCATTGGATCCGGAAAATTTCGGGTGCGGCTTCCCGAGAAGCTATTGAATAATACTGTAGAGATGTAACGCATGGAAGTTCCTTTTACGCATTTTAATAATAATTTGATAACAAATTTGCGGGCGAGCGACTGTTTTTGTGAGATTAATTCAATGCCGCGCGTGCACAAACGCGAAATCTGCTCGCCACGGTTCAATCAACACGAATGCCCCTTGTCCTGTAGCAATTGATGAAGGCGTATCTAATTAGATCGATCCCCGCAACTGAATCCGTCCTGAGATAATATAACGTCGCTCAGGCGCGGCAATCCATCTTCCGCGAAGTCCCAGTTATGTAACTCCATCTAGCCGGATAAACGCGCGATGTAACGCGAAGCGTTATTCTGTTAAAGAAATAGGGAGAGGACCAATCGTTCCGCATCAGTAGGTGTAATGTAAAATGAGAGCACTGTACCAATTCGTTTCTCCACCGTCGAAAGGCACGCGCGATCAATCGCGGCCGTCGGTTTACAATGAAGAAGATCCGCGTGAGAAATAGTGATTACAGGGAAAGACGCGAGCTTCTGCGATTTTAGACGATCTCGTTTGCCGAATCCGCGACACGACGCGGCCCCCGTTGTCGATGCGCGACGCAATCGGAATATTCTGTTGACGCAAATCTGCATACCGCAATTCAATCAGCTCGCATCCTCCCGACGTCTTGTTCCACGCGACCGTGCGTGTGCTTAATTAGATCGATTCCGCCATGCCGAATTCATCTCGGCGCAGCCTCGGTTCGCCAAGACGTAACGATCCATCATGGCCTCGGTAGGCGCGTTCGCCATTTAACCCGATTCCCGCTGGATCAAGGACGAAGACGAGCATTCCTCGGACGAGGGTGCCGCCGTTGATCAAGATTAATCGTATGCAAATTACGCGCCCGCTCGGCTGGAGGATTCCGCGAGTTTTGGAGATTTCCACGTCGGGAGGAAGGTAGGCATGGCGGAAGGAAAGATCGAGCGTCTCGTCGCGGTGAGATCGCGGCGGTAATTGAAAAGACACGGGAAACTCCGTTAGATACGAGAAATCCCGTTCCCGCACCGATAAGGGAACAGTGCCCATGACATCGATTTTTCGAGCGACGTGATACTCGGGGAATTCCGCAGGGATGCTCGATGTAGCCCTCTTTTCGACCGAGCAGATTTATCAATTTTTCATTGTGCTCCGTCTCGACGCAAAAGATCTGCCGCGGGGAAGAAACGCGCTCTTTCCGCTGCCGTTCTAAAAATTTAATCAATGAGAATGTGCGACATCGCGTAAGGGGCTGGCAAATAGCAAACCGTGCGTACTCTTTCCTCTAAGTTTCTGAACGCATTCAACAAGCTCGGCGCAAGGAAGGAATTAAGGCAAACGTTGCTCGGTAGAATGCGTTCATTCTCATAATGTAATTGGCCTTCCGCTACAAATGACCCTTTAATCAACAACAAAAATTTCACCGCAGCTGGAAAACCTTCGTCTGGACGCAACTGTCCCGCACTCGCGTCTTTTGTTCGCGCGTTTTCTATATTCGCGGTGCGCCATTGGCAACCATGCAGTTTTCGCGGATTATTATCAGTTTTTGTTGGGAGGAAATGAAATAACGGAGACAACATTTTCGAATGATTTCTTCTTAAACATACGATTGCATTTTGTCGCGCAGCGTTAGAGGTGATTAACGTCGGCTTGCTCTCTGCTATCGCCTCGAAAGATTTTAAATCGGATAAAGTACAAAGTAAGCGCCCGTGTTTTATTTTCCCGTTGTATATTTTTTATCTAGATTTAATCTTTTTACCTGGCTATGTTTTTTTTCGTATCAGCGACAGTTTAGAACGTGACTCGGGGCTTTTACAGTATTTGGCTAATCTTAAGTTATTCACCGCTGGCTTATTTAATTTATTTACATACGAGTCTCTTAAACAGTCTTTGAAACAAGTACGGTTGGACGCTGATGTTAAACCATTCGTATGTCTTATCGCGTTTGCACAATTCGCCTGAAACAACTGCACGCACGAAGCGAACGGTATTTGCTGAAGTATAAAAAAATTTAGCTGGCTGCAAATTTAAAAATTATGTTGAATGATATTTGAATAATCGCATTAAAGCTCAAGCGACCTACATAATTCTATTGCTCCAACATAATCGTTTTCAGATTTGTATCTGGCGTAATTTTCCCGGTGCGAAAATTGATGAAATGAATTATTTAGCGCACACAAAATTTTCTGACTCGTCTCGCAGAGGTGTCTGACGTAAGAAGGAAATCGCAAGCTCTTCGTCGGGCAAAGACGTGTAGGTCCGCCAGGTCATTGTCGACGCAGCGGGTGTAAACTCGGCATTAATGTCTGCCAAGCAGACCCGGACAGACATAAGTAAGCGACCGTCACCACGGATACGCACTCACACTCGCTCGGTCACGCAATGTGACGAGTGAGGTAGGTAGTAGACGGCGGTATACATAGAGTTTCTGGTGGCAGAGGGGTCAGTGTAAAACTGCCTTCTGCCCGTAGCGTGTCGAATCGTAGTCGGTCGAGTCAACTGTCGCACAGATCGACCCAGGCCCTTCTTCGATCCAGAAGAGCCCTACAGAGAAAGCGCGACAGCTCCTATCTGAGAATTTCCTTATCGCGAGGGGTTACCGGACACCAAAACCCTCCAATTCCTCCGCTCTTTCTGTACAGGAAAGTAAGTGCGATTGCCCAGGCTGCGAGGGACCCGGCGACAATCGATTTTTTACGATCCGAGGAATTCAGTAGACCGTTGAGAATAAATTTCACTGTTAACTCCGCGTGTGTTACTTGACGTAGGACTTTAGTAGAATAATGCGGCGGATTGTCCGCTTTATTTTCCGCTGGTAACGGGATCTCTCGTCGCCGGGTTTGACGTTGCACGCACGTAATGCGTATCTGATGCAACCGCATCCATTCAATTAACACGAAATGTTCCCTCCGTGTTCTGTGTAGCAATTGATGAAGGCGCATCTAATTAGATTGATTCTTGCTACTGAATTCTACTGAGATAACACGTGCTTCGACGCGACACTCCGCTTTGGGATCTTTAATTAACGATTGATTCGATAAATTGAATTAATTTCGAGACCATAGAAAATATGATAGAATATCCCGAGTCGAAATTTTGCTACTATTTTGACACCTTTAAGGATAGCTAAGTGGGTGTAAATTATCTTTAAAAGTGTCAAAATAGTAGCAAAATTTCGACTCGGGATATTCTATTATATTTTCGACGGTCTCGAAATAAATTCAATTCAATTTTATCTATACACCTACATAGACCAGCAATAACCTACTTTGATGATATTATATTTTTTTACTCCTCCCTCGAATTTTTAATTCTAAAAATTCACTTTAGCTCCTACTTAAAAGGACCTACTTTAATGCTAAATTGGCAAAAGTAGAAATTTCCGACACTACCAGTTTTAAAGTAGGAGTAAATCTTGTACTTGCAGTTCGACCTCTTTTCCTGTCTTAGGTCTTACTGTATAATAGAATTAAAGGTTCAAGACTCGGGATTCCGCGTATCAAAGATATCGTTTAAGGGATCATTCCACTTTAACGGCCCAAAAGCTATGCTTACCTTTAACAATTTCTTTTACAGTGAATACACCATACAATGAAATATATCTTTTTGAGATTTATTAGGGCACTCTTAGATAACGCAAAAAAATGATTGTCACAATTTAAATAATTTTTTCATTACCCTGTATATGAGTGTTGCTATGTCCCGAACCTCAATTAATAACATTTATTTAAAAATAATAAAATGGTGCCAGTTAGAAGAAAAGTTCTTTTTAAAACTTTTTCACACTGCCACCATTTTGCTATTTTTAAATAAAAATTATTAATTGAGGTTCGGGACATAGCGGCACTCATATAGATTAAGACTCTTTTTGATTTTTATTTCAGGTAAGCCTAAAAATCATCAACGCAGCGGACTTGCATCTTTTTTGACGCACCATTCGAACGGTGTAGAAAACCCTTAATTAAAAATTGTTTAAATTATGACGAAAATGTTTTTGTAATATTTAAGAGTGCCCTAACAAATCCCCAAAAGATTTACTTCATTGTATTTACTGTGAATAAAATTGTTAAAGATAAGCATAGTTTTTGGGCCGTTAAAATGGAAAACCCCTTAAAAAATTTCGGAGCACAGGACACGATGAATGTGACATTACCAGATTGTTAAATATAAAATTGCCGATTGTCGGCTAACGTAGACGCATTTCGTTCCATTTCGCCGCGGCAATTGGCCAGTCCAGGCCAAGTAAGGTGCTTTAAGCTGTCGAAGAAAATCGATACGAGTCATATCGGCGAAAGTCATTTAGTCCTTGCGGTTTCTTTCCATATACCGGCGCGTAATCCCTTGCAATATGGGTCACGCGGGACACGGTAATGCGGCAGGAAATATGCGAATTTATGCGCGCAAAACAATGCGGACGCCGACAGGTCGCTGAGACTTATCGGCGGGCATTATCCGGAAGTGCGATATCGGGAAGTGGACGGTAAGTCGGTCGGGCCGCGATTATATACGTACGTGACTCTGGAAAATCGTATGCCATAAATTTGCCGGTCGTATCCCGGGGCTACAGAGCGCGCGCGTTGTTACACGCGAATAAATCAAGGGCAGCTTGCGGCGAAAAAAATTCAATCAAACAAACAAACGTGTCATCGCACGAGTGTGCGGAACGAGTGGTTGGTCGATGGGCTTACAAGTATCTGTAGGCACTTGACGAGAACACTTTAGGTACTATTAAATCTATCGATCGAAGGCAGAGAGGATGTGTGAGAGAGAGAGAGAGAGAGAGAGAGAGAGAGAGAGAGAGAGAGAGAGAGAGAGAGAGAGAGAGAGAGAGGTGTGGAAATACTAATCAGTGAAATGTTCGGTTTACTTCAGCAATTAGGTTAATTAATTAGGCTGAAAATTCCCCGCCTATTAGTTCCTTCCGCACCGTGCGACGCGTCGTTCGCGAAAGTGTTGTGCGGCTCTTAAATCAAACCTGACGATTTTAGAGACCGCCGGCGCGTTACGTTCCACTGTTTATCCGGGAGGTGATTAAAACGTCGTCATTTGTTTTTTTTATTTCTAATATAACGAACCAGCCCTGAAAAAAGCGTAATATTAAAAAATAACATTTTTATATTCTACAATCTCCGCCCCAGAGTAAATATTTCATACGAGTACTTTCATAGAGAAAATCGATGAATTCTCAATCAAGCGATTTTCCAATGACAAAATTGTCCGATTTCGTATTTTCCCGTACTTTTTAGCGCGGCTCCAATTTAAGCTCGAAAACGCGGATGCAATTAGAAAAAAACATCCGTTGGCGGAAATAAGCAACGTCGCGCACAGATATGGGATAATATCCGGGTAATACCGTAATTATTTCTTTGTACGTTAAGCCGAGTGTGTTGTAGTCCTCCGTGACTAACCGTACGCTGGTTTCCTTCGGATACGAAGACTCGGCGAATATATGGAAACAGTCCTTCCAGTTTTAGTCTCACGGCCACATTACGCGTGTATGTTTTACGTTCGCGCGTTGTTACGCGGCCTTAAAATAGCTGACAAGCCGGCTGTGGCCCGCGCATGCCAGATAACCGGCGTTTTAGATTTATGCTTTTCGCATACACGACGGAAAGCCCGTGCCCTCCATACACATTGCGCCAGATTGATATCGTTCAATTAGCAAATCGTATTGTTTAATTTCCCGCCCGTGCATTATATAACGTTTAACCGAATATTTCCTAATGAAATCGTATTTCTAATTGGGTTAGACATCAAATATTAATTAATTGACGGCATAATTTTGCCGGTAATGCGCATAGCAAATCACGCGCGACGCCGCGCGAGAATTGATTTGAATTTGATTTTTGCGCGGTGTTTCCCACGCAAATTTGCCCGATCGTCATTTCGTCGACAAATAATTGATAATCAAAATTAATTATCGATGTAACGACGTTAATGTCCCGCGCGCCTCGTAGCCGGGGCGGACTTTAAACGGGCCCGGCGCGCCCGAAAACACCGCCGGCTAATTCCCGTCGCGTATTTACGGCGGGCAAACGCATTTTTCACACTGCGGGCTCCATCGGGGAATGCGGTTGCACGCGAGCGGGGGAAAATTTCGAAAAAAACGACCCGCCGACCAATTTGTTTTACCATGTCGCGGCGTAATCGAGCGCGCTTTTACCGCGTTATTCGACGATCGCGTTCAAATATCAATCGCGAATGGCCGCTATTTATGCAACTTTCCACCGCACGTTTCCGCCAAAAACTCGTCGGAACGTAACGCGCCGATTTTTTTTCGCCCTCCTCCCCCTCGCCGCCGGGCAGCGCGTTTTCGCGTTTCTATTAGCGTCGACTTCGGAAAACGCGCGCGAGACGTGGCCGAGCGAAAGAAGACGTCTGCGAGAGGAGGATTTCAGAGTCGAGAGGGAAAGCCCCGTCGCTACGTGACGTTTCCCCGACGTCTATCGCGTCCCGTCCCGTTCGCCATGTCTTCCCTCCGGATCCGACGCCCGGGGTAGTTGGCCCTTTCGAGATTTCGAGGGGAAACGCGCGACGCATGTGTCGCGTGCGCTTTAAGGGAAGTCGGGAGGGGGGGGGGGAGATCTTATTGAATCTGCTGTAATCCGCGGCCGTTCGACGCGCGTACTCGGATGCTTTTGACAGCGCTCAGCTTTGCTCTCGCGGCCGGATTATATCGATTATGTGACGCAACGGCGGCTTTCTCAGAACGATATCGATTCTACAACGCCCCGTCGGAGCCGTAGGCTCCCCGATAAGCGGAGCTCCGATAGCGGCGGCCAGAAATTTCGTGCGACCGTCACCGCCGACGCGCCTCGCTAACGAGATTGTCGCCCCCCTCCCCCCGGTCGCTCTCGCGGCGAAATCGTTTTCCGACCGGCTCGTGAAACGCGCGAATGACGATTTTCAAACGCGACGAGGTGGCACCTGGTGGCCGCAGTTATTACGAGGAAGAAAAGAAATCGAAGCTCGCGTCACGGAAACGCGACTTCCGGTTGCTCCGCCGGGCCTTGGGGTTCGCAATTATCGCGGGTAATTTCGAAAGTATCGATCCGTCGGGAGCCGAGCGTGTTGTAACAGCGTGCCGTAGGCTTACCGCAGTATACGGGAAGGGCGGGCTGTATATAATTCGCGGGCTATACATGCCTAAGTGGCAAGCGGAAAACAAGTCGGCGGAGAGGGTCCGCCGGCCGAACGAGTCAGTCAGGCCCGTGCGTTCGCGCGCGACTCGCGTTTTCCGCGGCGGACTTTGAATTTTAGAATCTGCCGCCCGGCATCGCGGGAAAGTCTTCGGAACGAGGTATCGATCGGCCAGTAGGTTTCCCGGCAGGTGCGAGCGAATCCTCGGTGCCGCGATAGCCCGCCTAGTGATAACCGATATCGCACTGGGCGGATTCTTTTGCGGTGTCGTATTTTTATAACTTTATGGTATTGACATGGACAGATCTCGTAATGCTGGAACGCAATGTAATCGAGCTCGATTGTGACACGCAACATGCTGAAATTTGTTAGCACCCTGGCATTATTAATTATCAATCGGTGCACTGAGAAAAATGTACACTGAGAAAAATGTCGGATTAAATATAACCGGATAATCCATTTGCGTAATAACAAATGGATGTATCCGTTTAAATTGTACATCCGAT